TTCAAAGGATGAGTAAGTCAGTGGATTTTCGCAACCTCATCTGAACTGATTAACAAGAGACGTCTCACTTCGTATAGCTCTGGCCACAATGAGGAGCAAAAGTGGCTGGAACGTCAATTGACCAACAGTTTCCGACACCACCGCTAGTGGTCGTGGAGAGAGATGGGGAAGCAGCAACCAGTACCCAGGTTTATAAAAGAAACCGAAAAGTAGAAAATATGTAGTAGGGTCCCTTTAACACTCCACCTTATGTCATCTGTCTGGCTAAGGTGATACCCGGGCACTTATCAATAGACGAGAACATTCAGCAGCAGTCCGCTGTCTTCTGCTGTAGATCTGACATGATCATTTTCAAGATACATGGAAAGCCTACATGCTTTTGACCTTCTATCCCATCGCCAGTGTGAGGTGAAATTCAAATGAGTGATTTTGTTATTCGTCGAGTACTAAGTATGGACGACAAACAAGTCAAAAATGTGAACCTACACCAGCCGAAATATCTTGGGCAAGTCAAGTTATCACATACCTAAACAGGCATCTAAGCCTCGTTAAAGTCAACATCGAAGGCTGGAAGACTAACCTGCCTTCTTTGCCTAGTACCCTACGCCTAACCTCGATATTCCCCACACGGTGATTCCATCATACGTGAGTAATGCCACCAAAGGGTATATGGTCAGAAACCTGTAATCTCTTCAGATCTGCTTTCAACGGTCATGCCTGACAGTCATGATAAATCACCCCTTTTCTATCCGTATTCTAATATTTTGCCGTTGTTTTCCCTTTCAGATACTTTCGCGTTATCCCAGGTGTTGACTACTTAAATCACTTTTCATCAGACCGTAGTCATATGCAACGCGAGGATGGTAGCTGGGTGTCTCCACCACCCTCTTATGATCGCATACGGGGAAAAAGTTCAGTTTCACGTCATACTTTACCCTTCTACTGGGATATGAAAATTGATGCGATTGATCAGAACTCACTGTCAACCACTGATATTTATGGCTGTGTTTTAACTGAAGGTGATTTCTTCGGGAAATTTTCAGACAACTAGTTCATTGCTTCTTTTTTTCGTCCAAATATATGATGAGAGATAAAATACTTGGATTTTACCCACTGACTTTCTCGGAGAAATAGCATAAAGATACATGTATTTATGATTTTGATGCAAACTTGGTAAGCAGTGGGGAGGGATGAGTGCTCCACTTTAGAGAATATAACACTATGAAAATGTGAAGGTATAGTGTGACGAATATGAACATTTATCAGAGAAGGAAAAGCAGTCACGTAGAATGCCCTTATAAAGCTCTCGAAGCTTTTGTATTGATACTGAGAAGTGGAAGACAAGGAAACGACAGCATGGACGCCAGTCATTTTGAATTTCATTTGTGATTGAGAGTAATTCATGTCTCAAACCTCGCTTCACAGACTAACTAATTCCTTGCTACTTCCAACCACTTCCAGAAGCATGACACAACGGATGATATAGAAGCTTCTGAGTTGGTATACTCGAGACGAATCTTATCCATTGGAGCAGATGTTTCGCTATCAACCTAGTGTCGACATCTATCATGTTCAAACACCCATTACACGACCTCAGAATTATGCATAAGTAGTTAGAATGTTTTCGCAATACCACTGACTGGATGGGGTGTGACAAAACGTGTTTCCCACGGATGAATAGTGAAACCTTGCTGATGTTGCCTTTCCTGTGACGAGAGGTGGGTTAGAAAAGGTCACCTGTTTGACCACCCTCTACTATTACTAATCCAATTTGTTTTTCCGGTAACTCAGAAAGAACCAGCCTACCAGTGTGAGCAACCGAGAAGTGTCAACCACTTTTGTACATCTGTCAGTACTCAAGCTTCTTCAAATCATTATCAACCTTATAATCTTCACTCACGTCTCCTGGTCAACATTCCTACACTATCTTTAATTTTGCCCAGCGCTCGATTACCACGGAACAGCATACAAGCCTCCTAAAACCACTCTGCAGACTACAATATTCACATTCTCCGTCGAGTCAGCCAACAAGCTTCGTTAACCGAAACTATGGCATTGTGTGCCATGGATGTGTGCTATGCTTGTGAGACCATGGACGCAGGACCAGAGTGTGGTTATTCACTTAACCTCACTTGGTCAATATGGTGAGTTCGAAATATTTACTCTCCCAGGTTCTATAGCTTTCAGTTGTAGATACAGTATCAAGTGCTAAGACAGAAGTTGCACTGCTCGACTGGGTCCCGGTTAACAGTCATTCGAACGCCATTCGGCTGAACAGCGCAATGAGGACTAAAGAGAATATTCAAAGTCACCATTGTCCCTTTATAATATTTATTTGTACACTCATTGGCTGCAGTTCGGATGAAGTGAAGAATAAGTTTCTCCAAAAACTGCCTAACCTCATACTGAAAGCCAAAGGTTCGGACGTGGCTGTCGTAGCAGGTGGTTTCAATGCACAAGTGGGTAGGCTAAGTCAGGCAAAAAGGCACTTGGGTGGCACTTTCGGGATCCCTGCGGAACTAACAGATAACAGCAATCACCTGCTACAACTGTTCTCAAACAACTGTCTATTTCTGGCCAGCATGAAATCTAGACAAAAATAGCGACATTGGCTGATGTATCATTCATCAATCATCTCAACTCAACTGTGGATACAGACCACTCACAGGAGAGACTACTGGAAAGATAGGCAGAACACTTCAACGAACAGTTAACCTCTGTCCAGTCCGATTTGAAATGGAAGATTCAGGTTGAGTATCCGACTCTTGTCGAAACTGTAAAGGCCGTAAGTAATCTGAAACGAGAAAAGACAGCAGGACCAGATGGACTGACACCGGGGACATTTAAGGACAGTGGTGGTGGACTATTGGTCAGGTTAACTGAAGTGCCAGGTAGTGCATAGGAGTCAGATATGTTCCTATCTGAGTGGTCCCAATCAGTGACTGTCACAGTCTTCAGGAGAGGGAAAAAATCCTCTGGCGATAGTTACGGGTGGAATCAGTCTGGCAAACATATTGTCTAGGATTCTAGGTTCTATGATTGTCAAACAGCCTTAAGACCTGGTCGTGGGTGCTTAGGTCAGATATTCGATCTCTTCCCGGTCCTAGAGCACAAGTACACTCACCGATGTCCAACACTGGTTGTACTTCTTGAACTGAAGGTGGCATTAGATACTAGACAGTGTCTCTCAATGATGAAAAGGTTCCCAATTAAGTACACTACCCCCACTGAAGGCTCTGCACTCGGACACCCTTCGGTGTGCTACAACCAATGGTAAGAGATGGTGAGTTCTCAGGTAAGTTTTGTACATCGAATGGTTCCCATCAAGGATGTCCACTATCTCCATTCTTATTTAATTTTGTCATAGACGGACATATAGAGGTCACTCTCTCGTCGTCTGATTTCAGAGGAGGGTCTATATTGAACCTAGGGTATGCAAACGAGTCTACTTAGATGAAGATACTGAGAAAATGCAGCGCCTTCTGAATATCTTTATTGGCGAGTTAAAAGCGTTTGGGATACTTTACCGTCACCGAAGTGCGAATTGCTGCTTCAGGAATGCTCTTTCGTGCCTTGTTTAACAATCGAGAGTGAAGTGGTTGAGCGCGTCGACCATTTTAATTACTTAGGATGTTGTATCGACCCTGAAGTGTTAGTGATCGACGAAATCTCTGCACGGATACAAGAGGATCGTCTGACTTTCGCGAACTTATCCTGTCTGTGGCGCCACCGTGACACTTGATTGTCCTTTAAGTGTTGAATGATCTACGCTGCAGTTCACTTTGTTCTAATGTGTGACTATGAAGCATGGACATTAAGGGTGGAGGTTACAGGTGTTCGACCACCGTTACCTTCGTAGTATAGATTATGTGTCTTAGAACCACCAAGTCGATAACGCAGAAGTCAGATAAGGCACCTTAGGGAGAGGAGTAAAATTCAGTCGAGGAGGTGGTGAGCCTTCATTAACTTAGGTTACTGATGTGTTAGGGATGCTGTCGTCATCTGCTTCGTCGCAAAACATTGACTGAAGTGAGTTGATGTCGGAGAAAGTAGGATGTGACAAAACTAAGCACGGCACTAGTCGATAAAGTCTTTGATTGTTGGTATGGGAAGTGTAGGGATGTGTAGATTTCCCGGTGGGGGTCCGCGTGATAACATGAACCAGTGGTTCGAGAACCTTGGTGATACGGCTCAGAATCGATTTCAGTGGCGCAGAAGTATCGACACGTTACCGTTTTTTAATCATTACATTGAATTTCAGTATTCGGCTATTCTTGTTTTCTCTCTCTTGGCAACTTCGTGTCACTTTTGACTGCTATCTTTCTACTTTTTCACCTCTCATCCTAGTACATTTTTCTTTGTGCTGATGTTTGTGATAGCTTGGAACGTGACGCAGTTGTGCCAAGTCCTATGTTGATTGTGTCTGTGTGACGAGAACAACAACACAATTCGGATGGACCACAGCTTAAGTTTTCGATGTAGAAGGAATTATAGCGAATGTCAGTAAAAAATCTCTTGGATAGCTGAACGGAAACGGTAGGTGTGAGTAGTGACAGTTAAGCAATCACATCTCGAGTCTGTACGAACTATAGTACAACAATTCTCCGCATTTCCCCTCGATTTGCCTTGTGTTTAAAAAAATGATCCCATGTTTTGCCTCTCGTCTTCCCGGGAAAATGCTGACTGCGATTGTAGTTACGTAATTTGTACATTTCACACATCACTTCTCCAGGCATACAAAAAATGATATTCAAGCTTGTAGGGCAAAATTTGATGGAACGAGCAGGAAGGTGAATTTGACTAACAAATACGAGAAAATCTATCATTACTTGTTATGTGCCTTGTTATTTAATGGGGATGTTCAACAAAAAATGCTGATGGTTTGTTCATTTCCTAGTTAAATGCCAAAAATTGCATTATGAAAATGACATAAGCTAACCATATGCACCTAATAGTATAAGAAATTAGAAGCGTATCCGATATTAATGAATAACACTAACCTGCGAATTATTCGACATATTCCGCGCGGACAAATTTCCCACGTGCACGACTGTATGAACAGGTTAAACACAACTACTGATCGCAATAGCACAAGAGTACTTTCCTCGCAGTTTCTGGAAAAAAAGACATGTCTTTCATCTTAGATGAGCGAAAATCTACAAAACATCAATGTGTGTTGTGGGTTCTGAGTGTTCACAGTCCAATGTCTCAAATTTCGGCAGATATAAGTTCTTAGTAAGGTAGAATTTGAACTTTAGAAAATTTTATGCAATGTTGGTTCAGCAGATCACTGCACAGAAATTTCGTACCAAGGGGAAATATTAAATGCTTGCATTAAAAGCAAATCACGTCTAAGGCTGGAATAGGTCTGGATCACAGGATAACCGGATTTAACAGCAGCAGTCATGATTCACTTTATTCCAAACGACTTGTGGCACAATTTGGAATCCTCATCGAGATATACTGGAACAAAAGCAAGATATGTGCAAGTTTTTACTCCTTTAAAGCATTTCGAATTGTGTTATTAAAAAGTTTTAATTGATGTGAAGAATATTAAAAACCAGAACATTTTACGTCTTTAATCGAATTATTAAAATGAGACTGTTGAATGTTACAAAGTTTATCTGTGAGTTCTGTTCTAGTACCTTTCTCCTCAAATAATATGCGTACCAGGTAAGGTGCAGTCGGATTCTTATACTTAGCTGTAACAGCATTTCAAATACTTCTCCTGTGTTTGTAAGCGAACTGTTTCGGAACTCTGCAAACCACCAATGAAAACTAAATCGAAAGAGGTAAGTTCTCCACTGCCTTCAAAAAGAGGGAAGTCGTAGCGACGGGTCAAAACGTAAAATCTCATCCAGAGGACAACATAGGCACAGACACAATTTTGATCTCCTTTTAAGCAGTGGGCATTCCGTTTTTAGAAAACGGTGCATTAAAGATATCTGTGAGGGGATGACATAAAATATCCGCACATTTTCTAAATATAGTACTTTAGAAGTTGTCCTGGTGCGAACTCGACAGACGCAGAGGCCGATCACTAAGTATTCCAACTTGTTATATACCCACGAATACGAGACCAAGGAGGAACACAATAGCGTAGTAGGATGGAACAGTATATTTGGATGGTTGTGCCAAAATACCGAAGCGTTCCAACTAACTGGCTAGAGAGTCTAATACGAGCAGTGCAACGTAACACGACAGCGTGCCAAATGGCGAGGATGCTTGACCGGGTGTCTTCAGCCTAGCGAGTCCAGTTAGACTATCGAGGTCAGCATCAATGTTGAATGTCATCGAACCCTAGGGTATTGATTCCGGGGAAATGTGCAACGCTACACCGCTAGAAACACCACCAGAGCCTAGAGCCTAGATTCAATGATTTCAGACCTTTTAATACATCACGCGTGCTAAAACTGTGAAGGCAGCTTTCCATTTGGCTTGGACGTTGGGAAGGATGAAATCAGCTTGCCGACGTATGAATGAATTGTTTAACGACGGACATACGAACAAGCCCTCATTGTCATATGCCTCCTACCAGTAATTTCTTTAAATAGCTTCCATGTATTGGAAGAGATCTTATACGCCAGAAACTTTTGGCTGAAAATAGCATTCACGTATAGTACCCCCTTCTTTTTCTCTCTGGAGCGTCTTGAGATGAGGAGAGTAAAGTCTGTTGAATCTCATGTAGAATGTTTCAGCACAGCAGCAAATATCGAGACAGAATCTGGAATGGTTTACGACATTTGCGATAGTGTTATCTAAAACGTCATCAGCAAATATATCCTGGTCTGGTTCTATGAGCATGCTTCTCAAACGTAACATATTCTCTCGTGACTAGCATCTGCACTGGACTTTCTTGGAAAGGTATCATAAAGCCTTCGTGTATAACCTGCCGCACGCTTTAGTAAAAAACTTACAGTGCAGTGACCAGAACTTAACGGTGAAACCCATTTACGGGCCAGGCTCATTCGTACGTAACAAGTCTAGGTTGTTGTCAAGAGGAGTAGAAAAGTTAACCACGTTTCTATGACTCAGTGAGACCAGAAAACTGCGGTCAAGTGAGTTAAAATCTCTATAGACCTTAGGCAAAAAGTTATCCAGAATCGGAGCAACAAATTCAGTGAAACTCGACAAATCTGAGAAGCCGCAGTCAGTCCTCACTCGACTTCTTGCTCTAGCGGTGCCAAGTTTCCTGATTCTTTTTCCAACTCGTGAGTAAACCGAGTCACATCCGCTACTGGGTTTGATAGTGAAGGAGGTATCCAAATTTTCCAACCTCGTAACAGTCATTGCAGCACCCACATGCTTACATCATATTTTGGAAGTGGGTTTAAACATCCTTTGTGTTCCCGTTAGTGCCCCTGGGGATGTTAGTGATCCCATTTCTACCATTTCTGTTTATCCGCATATTTTGTCCTGAAGGATGGGAAACGGCTAGGCACGATTGTGTGACCAACATCGCCCAATCAGTCAATACCCTAGTTGGATGAGTAGGTTCCCGGTAAGTAGTTAGCTGGCCACAGGTTCCCCCAGCATAGTATTGACTAGTGTCTCACCACAAAGAATGGTTGCTTTGAGGCCATTCATTTCTCCGCGGTATTTCCAACACAGTTCCCAATTCCTGAGAATCGACTAAAGTTTGAGCAGCTTCAAATAGGACATGATGCTGGTCTATTTGTCGGAGTATTTCTGGAGTCAAATGTTGACCTAATGGGATAAACTATCGGTGGACCTCAATGTTACCGCACATTTTGGTGCAGTTATTAGTTTTAGGTATTAAAAAGGCAGTATCAGCATAGGGGCAGCATTTAAATAGCCATGCTACTTACACCACACAGTTAGCCATGATCGCTCCAAGTGTTCGCTTGCAAATATGCATACCTTTGAAGCAGTGGTTGTCAGAACATGATTGCTCAAATGTTTAGAAAGTTAAGGTGATCCTCTTCAAAGTTTTCGCCTCGCTTCATCCGTTTTGTATCCCGCTCATTTCAAAAAATAAGCACCTCGGACAGGGCACAACCCCTTACTTCTGTGGGCAGTTTAAAAGGAAACTTCACTTGTAAAAAGTAATCAGCTTAACTGATTTCGGAAATGTAGTTGAGAATGTGCTGCTGTTTGGGTTATTTTCGAGTGACAGCAGGAAACTACACACTTCTCTCGGGGCCATACAGAGTTTCTCTCCATGTTGTACAGGTAAAGATAACTCTCACCACGAGGTGGGAAGTTGAAGAGGCGCGTCCTATCTTGAAGCCTGTTGAGTGTGTGATCTTCAGAATGATTTTGACGTTCCCATTTGGCAGCTGGTCACGTCATGAAACACAACCTTATGCCACTTGAAAATGTAGGATTTCAAAGTATAAGCAGTTTGATATACATCTGGCGCATCTAAATACTGGAATGACTACCATTATTCCCAGATAATATATTAACCCCCGGTAGCTCCCGGCTGCAATTCATAGTGCAACCCGCGTGTTTACCTAACAGTTTTGTGCTCACAGTATTCACTAATACCTATGTTCCTACCCAAAAATTCTTCGCCTCAAATTAACTAATCCTGGACACTACTTTGAAGAGGACTGAACCGCTAGTGACTACAGTGGTACCCAAATTCGCAATGTTCCAACGTCTAAAGCGTCACTGCCCTCAACAGGCAGTGTGGAGCTCCAAGTTATTAAAACAGAGGTCAGCTGTATCATTCGAGGGCTGAGACGGGTGATGTGCCTGAAAGACACGGTCTGGGAAAGATGGTTGAAGGAGTATGCTCCGGCTTCGCAAACGAGTGGTGATTTTAACATGCCGGGTATCATATGAGAGATGCTGCAAGAACCATCTCATTTCAAACCATTTTTTCAAGTCTCAGCGACCAATGGATGGGTTCAAGTTGTCAATGGCTGTGCTTGACGAAATAACATACTTGGCCCGATTTTTTCAAGCAACACACCACCATTCACTATGCACACTGGCAGCGAATTCCCGGAAGGTTGCCACCAGGTTGCATCCCGTTAACTTTTCGCACCATATGGGTGCACTCCTACATTGCTGAGGCCCATAATACTCCTTCACAGAACCTTCGTTGACGTCTATTAGCCGAGCCCACAGTGCTTAATACTCTGCGTAGATTGGGACGAGTTCTTTTCATCCGCTGATCTGAACAACTCTCTTGCGAACTTCTATCTTAATCTAAACTTCTGTCTCAACTACGTGACCCCAAAGAAAGCACAAAAGTCGCACGTTAACGTCAAAGACTACATCCCAGTCACACTCAGGCGAAAACTAACAAAAATGAAGAAACGTTTTCTCAGCCCGTGACGACGACCCGGTGGTTCACAAAGGAAAAGGTGAAATCTTTAACGAGGATAAAATTCTGAAACATGCGAATAGAACTCTGTAATAGACCTGACATGCTAAATATGCCGAAGTTAGGCAACAAGATTGTTGCAGACCCCACTGAGATTTATGAACTACTGGGCGTAATGGTTAGCCTTTCCTTCATTGATCGTAATTGCTACCTTTCAACACTCAGCGACGCTGCAGCACATAAAATCTCGGAAGTTGAGTTTAACCTGAGCAACAAACGTGAGGCAATAAACTCACTGAAACCCTCTCTTAGTAGGGGAATAGATGGGATACCTGGCCTTTTCGTTAAAAATGGCACCGTGGACTTTCTCATATCGCTAGCAAAAATATTCGGCCTGTCCCTAAACCCCAGCACTTTTCCAGTTGCATGGAAGACTGGTCATATTACCCCGTGCTCTAAGAAAGGCTGCAGACTTAGCCACTTTTCAGGCAGCGAACTTATGGATTCCTGGCAGCATGGATTCCGGTCTAAGAAATCTTGTATCACGTGTCACCTAGAATTCTTCGGACACGTAATTAACAGTAGAGACGATGGAAGCGTGGTTGTCTCCCTTTACTTTGATTTCACCAAAGCTTTCGACAAAGTGCATTACCCCTCACTTCTTCGGAAATTGAATTCATTTTGAGTAAGTGGAAAGTTGCGTGACTGGATCGGCTCATTTCTGCTGAACCGCACATAAGTTGTCAAA